TCTAGTCTTACACTGCTAAATTAGGGACGGCTAGTGCAGATAGCCCGCGTGTAGCTTTGCGCGAAATTCAAAAACCTAACAATCTCATTTATGATTTTTTTCGTTGCTCTTTTTTTACTGATTTTTTTTATTTTATTTTATTTCGAACATTCGTCTGTCCGTTTGTATACGTACAAAAAAATACATCCTTCTTTTAAGAGTCACAAGCAAATCGTTTATTTTAACTAGAAGTTCTGCTGACGACTTGTAAAAGCTTTTCCTAGTTCGTTACTTCCCCAAGGAAATAACATCCTAACATGGTGTGGTCAACTTAGAAGTTTAAAAACACAAAAGTGAAGGTGAAGACTATATACTATATACAGAGAGAGGCAAAAGTCACTATACAGTTAATACTATGCGGTTTAGTACAGTTAGTATTATATTGTTAGCACTAAAGAAAATATTACAATTGAAACTAATGTAACTATTTCTTGTTTCAGAGTAAGACGTTCGAAATTATGTTCTAAATGAAAATACTGTGTAATCACTTTTGCCCCAGTTCTAGTGTTACTTTTAGTTTATATTTTTGATTTATTAATATAAGCATAATATTGCCATTTCTTATTTGCCTGTACTTCACAGTCTCATTTCTATATATATAGATAGATATTTGATGGTACTTGGTAATGGGAATACTCTCTTTGGGAAAACCCTAGCGCGGGTTGGAGCCTAATCAACGTGTGGGATGAACTAATGAAAGGCTTACCATGAATAACTTTGTCTTTAACTTAGCAATTACGTAACCCTATGACAACTAAATATATAACTAACACATCTTACCATTACTTCGTTTATATTTGAATCTTCAATTCCACATAAACTTTCTTTTTGGACTTTGTTAACCTAGAAGAAACGTGACTTTTGATTCCAAGTGACTTTAATTTCTGTTCTAGAACCTCGGGCAGGTAAATAAAAAAAAAAGATTTTAAAATCTTCTGCTTAGACATCTGTCTACGGAAAAATATTTTAACCCTTTCTTTTTCATTGGCGTCTGTTACGTCGGAACATAATCGCATACATACTGTACCAATAAAACTGTTCTTGCTCTATTTATGAAATGTGTGTTCATAAAGGATATTTATCTAATTTTTAACGAAACCTCCTTTAGTACAAGGTATCACTGATTTTGTTACAAAACAGTGTTCCTGAGTGTAATTATTTCATTTAAATGTCTAAAATACAATACGTATACAATAAGTAATAATTAAAATGCTTAATTAAACTTTCAATACTTCATTTATTAAACTATCTTAGAACTGACAACACACTTGAATAATAGATTCGTTTGTATCGAAAACTAATTGCTAGAAATATAAGTCTTCAGACTTACCGCTGAGCCACCAGGGGGCCACTTGATTAAGCATTTTACAATAAACATTGAAAGAAGTGAAATAACTTGATTGATGAATGAATGCATTATAATCAATATAAGTTTTTATGACATTTCATACTCCTATAGATAGACCGGTAAATTAAATAAACTATATTAATTACTAAATTAATGTTTAGTTCTGATCTACGTAGGAAGTTTTCTTTCATCAGAAGTCATTGATACTTACTAATCTATTTTTGTCTTGATTACTTTTAACTGTCATATGAAATTCATGTATTACAGTTCTAGACCAGTGTTTATTCTTTTAAAATCGGCAAAACTTTTGAATGGCCTAAAGATGAATTCATTGTCATTATAAAGTAGTCGAACTTTATTTATCATATATATGAAAATGCATGATTTATACGTTTGCAAATTTGAAATGTTTTTCAGAAACGTTTTTGAACATTGCGACACATACACACACATTATATTTTTTGTTTGTTTCTTCTTCTTGTTGTTTTGAACTAAAGAAATATATTCTTGACAATAA